AGTTTCCTGGAAGGGCACCCTGGTTGAGGCTCCGCTCTGTGCACCGGTGCAGAACCGACCCCGACCGAATGTGAAAGCAGAGCCGGGGAGAGCGGGGGAAATTACTGAGCGGGTCCCAGGCTGCGGTGGAGAAACACGAACCCGCCGCGCTGCTGTTGGAGAAGGGAAAGACCAGGGGACTCTCCCCGGGGGCCTGGCCCCGGCCCCTGCCCCTGCCAGGGCAGCGGTGTGGCTGCAGGACCCATCTCCGTGCGCCCGGGGCCGGGCGTGCCTTCAAGCCATGGGTCGGCTGCTTGATAAACTGGCTTTGTTAATAAATAACATTGACACATGGGGTTGGCAAGCCGGGCAATGGTCTGCATACTTTTCTAAATCAATCAAAGGTTACAGCAGTTTTACAAAAAACAGCCCAACCAAAGCCTGCATTTTGTTGATAGTTGCCTCGACAGACATATGATGTTTTTTTCCCATTTTCCAGTAAGAAATGCGTCCAAAAGTTGTGCTTTTCCTAGATATTGGAGGACCTACTGTCAGTTTTTTTTGTCTGCAAATACGGGCTGGTATTTGGCAGTCAAATGACTGACCTAGGGTGAGGTATTTGACTAGTCAAATAAAGTTCAGAGAGAGGGAACGCCTGGGCCCGGCGGGGTCCAGCTCTGGCGCTGGCTGGCAGGTGGCCTCTTTGGGGGCAGCTACGGGGCCGGGCCCCAAATTGGGCGCTGAGACAGACGGATGGGGCAGGCCGGGCGAGGTGCTGGGGATGGGGTCCCCTCCGATTCCCGGCAGGGTCTGAAACCCCCCGGGGGCCCCAACCTTCCCCCACGGCTCTTTTCTTTGCCCCAGGGACTGACCCTGTCCCGGACCCCCATGGCCCTCCTGTTTGGGGGGGCTGGGAGGGACAGAGGGTGGGCAAAGCCCCTCTTTTATCTCCCCATCAGCCTCCCCAGACTCAGCCGCATCCCAGGCTGCGTGCGGGGGACACAGGTCATGACCAGCACAGCTTGAGCCCAAGACACCCCCTTCCCACGCCTGCCCCCCGGTCCCCGCCAGGCCTCCAGGACAGCTCTGCGTGCAGCTTCGGCCCCTCCTTCCCCGTCTCCTGCCAAGCATTGGCGGGGACTTGGGGCAGGGAGGTTCCTCTTTCTGCAGCTATTTAAACTCCCAGGCTCGGGGCAGCTGAGTCGCAGGATATGGACAGGATGGAGGTGACAGAGAACTTCGCTGGCATCACCCTGCCTGGGCACCTGCACACGCAGGAGTCCTTGCACGCGGCCGCCACCTTCCAGTTCCGGGACACCGACGTGGTCATCGTCACCTACCCCAAGTCCGGTGAGAGCCGGGGCTGGGGGTCCAGGTGCTGCGTCGGGGGCAGGACCCTCCAGGGCTTTGCAGGCGCTGGTTTTGGGGGGTCCGCACGGTGCAAAGGGGCCTGGACCGCTCGGCTCCCAGGCATCAGCGAGCCCCCCGGCTCCCGGGAGCGCTGCCCGAGCCGGACCCCAGCTGCTCTCCGGGCTGCCCAGAGGGTGAGCGGCATCCGCTGGCCACGGGCTGGGCGTGGGAGCGGGGCCCAGCTCCAGGCTGTACCGCCGCTGGCCGCTGGCTGCCCTCTCCTCCTTGCTCCCTACCCCAGACACGGCCCCACGGAGGCGGCCAAAGGAAATATGCAGAGAGGAGGGGCACGGCGGGGAGCAGGGGGCCGCTGTCGCCTGCCTAATACCCCCCGCCTTGCTTTGGCTTTCCTCTCCCAACGTGCCCCAGGCAGGGGCGAGCTGGGGAGACCCGGGCCCCATCCCGTGGCTCTGCACCAACGTGCCCCTGCAGCCAGCTGCCCCCGGGAAGAGCCCAGCCATGAGACCCCTGCCCAGCAAAGCACCTCTGGCCCCGGCACCAGCTCAGGCCCATCCTGGCCGGTCCTGGCACGTGCCGGCAGGCAGCCAAGGCAATGTGCTACCCCAAGCTGGGGTGGCTCCTCGGGGGCCTGGAGGAGCCTGGGGCTGCACAGAGGAGGAGCGGGAGCCGGGGAGGGA